TCCCCTCTATGCCTCAGATAGACCAGCTGCAGATGAGGGTTTGTTTGTTTGGTTCCTGATATGCTCTTATTCCTGTTTATAATCACGGCCACTGACAAAAAGGTTCTATTAAGAATGAGGTCAGCAGTTCAGAGTAGAATCCCATGGATACACTTTCACATGTACTGGAGTGAAGATAAAACAGCATGTTCATGACTGTAGAATTCACTCCCATGATCTATCCTATTTAGAAAATACCATAGGCTTAATGCATTTAATCATTGCATTGCCACCTTCTGGATTGTACTCGTGCTGTGACAAATTTTAGGCTTAGGCTTCCCTGGGGCTGACAAACAATGCTGTTACACATAGGAAACAATGTATATTCTGGCCCATGTGTACCTGAGGACAATGATGGGATGAGTCAACATGTCTATTATTCACCACCTCAATGATCAAGGATAATTGAGCTCTGGTCAGACAATGAAAACACATAGAAATTACTCTGTGTTCCCAGTAGTGACTGCTGAGAAACCAGCAATAGTTTATTTTCCCCCTCGACCCAAAAGTAAATTCATCTCCTCTTTAGAATGTTAGCTTTTACCTGGAGCTTAGGTCAGAGTCTGGTACAAAGCACAGCCCCTTCCCCTCTAGATACTCCTGTCAGTAGAGGGGCAGGGAGCGAGAGGTGGGATAAATCCTTTGCCCAGCACTCACTGGCCAGGTATGAGGGGTGAAGACAGTAAGCTGCATCCTTTCAAAGGCTGTGGCATCTTAACCCCAACACTCAACCTCCTCTCCAAGAGCAGGAAGAGAGTGGTGGAGGGAAGTGTACCTCAGAGCAGCGTTGGTGGCACAGTGCCTTCTCCGGCTACTGCTGGGATGGTGCAACTCATAGACCACCATTTGCTCATGGTTGTGCCTAAAGGTACAATCTACCCCCAGATGTTTTGGCTTCTGCCCCTTGCTGGCTTTATGGAACTCATGCAACAGTTCCTCTCTTTGGTCCTCCTGCTTGGACTTTCATAGACAGCTAGTGAGAGTGCTGCCAAGAGCCATGTCTCAAGTAGCTCATGTGAACCTCTGTTAGGAATACGGCATTGACTGACCTGAATTGTCCTTGCCTGTGGGTTGACATCATTTGCATCTTCCTGGCCACTGAGATGCTTCCCCAGCTCTGCTGCTCTCCAAGGCAGTGGGGGAGCTTCCATGAAGAAAGTTAAAGAACTAATTTTTTAAGCTCCTCATTTTTCACTTCTTACCCTAGTGCAGACAACATTCAGATTTCATGAGCTTCTCCCTCCCCAGATGCACAACATCAAGTTCTGCTTTATTATGGAGCCATAATTAGCCCCTGGAGAAGGCATCTACTTAAACCTCCATAATTAGTACTTAATTTCTCTAAAGCTAATGAAAGGCCCTTTTAGGTTCCTAATTGGCTGCTACCTCCTATTAGCATTCACTTTGAGCATGAATTACCAACTTGGGAAATAAGTTACTTTCACAGGAGTAATGCAGTGGTTGGGGACGTGAGCAGCTTATCAACCCAGGAGTGGAATGGGAGGATGTCTTGGACTGCTGGCCAAATACGTTTCACGTTTCACCCACGTTGCAGCTGCAGAATGTAAACGAAATCTGCTGCCCGGTGTCGCTTGAGTTGGAACGGTCTAGGCACAAACCCAAACCAGCAGTGTTCAGGGTGCAGGGCACCGTCTGAGTACTGTAAGCTCCATGTGGCAAGTATTTGTATCATGCCACTGCCATTTTTAATGACATCCCTGGTTAGGCCCATAGGTGGGGCCTCCAGATGTAATATCCTGAGCCTTTCCCATTTGAGATAAAGGACCAGGCCCAGAGGTAGGAGCAGACGCATAAACCTATATATACCAATGCAGTGAGGCACTGAGAGGCCATACTGACCCTCAGGCCTCCATCTTGTCTTGTCAAGTTATCCCCCCATAACATGGCTCTCCTCAGCACAAAGTTATGGTCCTGTCTCCCATCGACTAGCCTCAGAGAAGACCCATACGAGAGATGGTTGACAACTACAAATTCCCAGCCATAGGAAATCTTGAGTGTTCCGGGTTTTTTAAAAAAAATGAAATATCCTGCAAAAAATGTATTTTGTAAGAAACTGAGAGGCAACAACATTTTTACTGCAAAAAAGTTAACCAAACTGGGGGAGGGAAAAAGTTTTGACCAGCTCTAATAGTTATCTTTGGACATGCAGCTATCAGAGGGGACACATTCGTTGGTATAAATGGAAAGCCAAAGGCTAAGAGAAGATGGAGTGATCATTGACGAGCTTAAAAATATTTTTTTAATTCAAAATTGGCACTAACATGTATAATGCTCACCCTTTCCTGTCTCTGTTGAGTCACTGACCAGGTGAAAGTTAATGGTTCCTTATGGCACTTCTTTTTAAAATACTCAAAAATCCTGAGACCTGGCATTCCCTGTGACCGTAGAGAACAACACGACCTGATTAGCTACATATTCTCTATGCCACACCCTACTTTATAAAGCACTTTGAAATGCCTGGAGCTTTAAAGGTACTAGAGAAAAACAAACTTTCCCATATTCAGTATCCCTACTGTTTCAGGGCAGACTGTGGTATGCAGCTTAGTACTAACGTGGATACAAGAACAAATGGATATAAACTGGCCGTGGGGAAGTTCAGGCTTGAAATTAGACGAAGGTTTCTGACCGTCAGAGGGGTGAAATATTGGAACGGCCTTCCGAGGGAAACGGTGGGGGCGAGGGACCTGTCTGGTTTTAAGATTAAGTTAGATAAGTTTATGGAGGGAATGGTTTAATGGTAAAACATAGTAGTCAAGGAAAACCAAGCAATGGTAGGTAAATAGTATAATGGCTAACAGGGGTCAGGATGGAGACTCTTGCCTACATGCTCGGGGTCTTACTGATCGCCATATTTGGGGTCGGGAAGGAATTTTCCTCCAGGGCAGATTGGCTGAGCCTCTGGAGGTTTTTCACCTTCCTCCGCAGCATGGGGCAGGGATCTCTAGCAGGAGGGTCTCTGCCGATTGAAGTCACTAATAACAGGATTGGGGACTTCAGCAGCAGAGTCTAGGGAAGGGGTAGGGACGGTTTTATGGCCTGCAGCATGCAGGGGGTCAGACCAGATGATCATAATGGTCCCTTCTGACCTTAAAGTCTATGAGTGTATGAGTCTATGGATTTCTGATGGATGCAAACACACATACTGAAAACTATTTTGGCATATTGCACAAGAGTTTGAACACTTGAAGGAATTTAGAATTTCTCCAGCAAGGATCATTTTGAATAATTCTAAATGAAATATTATCATTGAACAGCTTGGAGACTTTCATCAAGCTTCAGTGAAACTTAAATGCACTGATTCATATTACAAAGGTATTTTGCAAAAACCAGACAAACAATTGTGCAAGCTTTTACTGTTCTTTACAGACAAGTGTCTCTCTTACGTGTAAGGACATGCTTCAGGAAGATGGGCCTCTCTGTGAAAACAGAGTTGCATCAGAAGAGACTGTCTAGATTTATTTAGAGCTTATTAATTAAGCTCTGGAGTAAATGTACCATTGAACAACTTAATTAGCAGTATGTTTATTAGGAGCTAATTACATAATCCCTAAGCATTTTTTAAAATTAATGATTGCCACTTAGTCCACAGAATCTAATTGACCAAGGTTAAGGAGAACATGCAAAATCTGTTGCAGAGTCCTTTTGCTAATAGAGTTAATTATTTACTGTTACTTTCATTGTACAAACAGGGACCTGGAAAGAGCTGCTTAGCCCAACAGAAATTCACTGTTGCATCCCACATATACACAGAGGTGTCCTCAGGAAGGAAAAATGCTTCCAATATGGTAAGAATTGGAGGACAATGGACAAACCAGTTCAGATAAAGTAATTTTCTCCTCGCTTTCACCATTTTGAGTCCACACACTGAAGAATAAAGTCTTTGTGCCACAGCACCTTCTCACCTAGGAATCCAAAGGCCACATCAGAAAATTTAAACATGGATCTCCCATAAGACAACACAATGCATTAATGCTGAGACACTATAGGTATGAACAGCTATGATTAAGAATGAAAGTAATGCCTAATTTTCCTATTAATTCTTCCAAAGCATAATCTGTTTTTATACCTAAAGTGGAACCTAGGAGTCTGGACTAAGTCTCAGGCTGGTTTGAATTATTTTTGTGTAACATCAAAAGCCACCTGTTGAAAGGATTACAGGAAGATTTTGTTTTTTTAGGTGCTGTCCCTTCTAATTCTGACACCACTTCTCCTGCTAGTCCTTTGATTAACATCTATTAGCAATTTAAACAAGTCTTCCATGCTCATGATGTCTTGCATAATCTCCTTTTTGTGTTCCTGCTGGACTACATGGTGTCATTCAGTCTCCTCCCTGTCATGGCCAGCTCCAGGCACCAGTGAGGGAAGCACGTGCCTGGGACGGCACATGCTAAGGGGTGGCATTCCCTCCATTCTTGGGGCGGCACAGTCCGGGCGGCTGCACTTCCCCCGCCCCCTCTTGGGGCGGCAAAAATGGTAGAGCCAGCCCTGCTCCCTGTTCTGGGCTACGTTCTATGGTTTCACTCAGTACATGAGGGGGAAACCTTGAAATGTCCATGCCTCTGATTCTCACCACACCAGTCTATGTTGGTGCACAGAATTGTGATCTGTATAAGCAAGAGCACAAAGGCCTGGAATTAAAAGTAGCTATGTAAAGACTAAGAGACCTATGGATCTATTGCTGTAGCTCCCAAACACTGCATCTCTGCTCTCCACTATGCCTGGGCTTTTGCCAGTATGCTGAAGATTTACATGTAGCGTTTGTTTTCATATTCTAATTTAGACTGTCCGACTGTATTATGATGTTTCAAGAAGAGCAGATTTTTGCAATCCCATGCTGGGCATCCCAGAGCCCATGCATGTCTAGTAGAACATATGGGATTAATCTCAAGCAAGTCAACTCCCAGCTGAATTACACCCCAGTAGCGAGAGGGAAGTATAAAGAGAAATCTGTTTGGTGCCAGCTTCAGTCTCACTGCTGGAACTCATGAGAAGGCAGGGACAAGATTGCAACAAGAAGTCTTGAATCATTTCCTGGAGACGCAGGTATTGTAGAATAATTTTAAATATTGCCTTTTTCATTTAACATGGTGTTTGACTGGTAACTGTTGCCCTGGTTTTGTTTTCAGTATCTATTTCCCCTTAGTAGTCTATTTTAATTTAAAAGGCATTGACCATTTTGAATAATGTTTTTATATAGGAAACATTTTATTGGCTTATTCTTATAAAAATTAGGGCCTGGTCATGCTTGGGTGGTAAGTACTCTCAGTTCTCACTGACTTTAACACAAGGTGAGGAAATTCAAGCACTTTTTGATTGGGCCTTTAAAAGCAGACCTAAGATAAGAAAAAAATATATATACACACTTTCTTGTGGGAGGTTAATAACGCCTTTCACCAAAGAGAGGCGTATTTATACAAATATACAAAGATGTGTATTTATCTTTCTAATAATGGTAAAATAACTGCTTTGTCTCATTATTTCTTTACCAATAATTTGTATAGTG